AAGCCAACTCACCAAGGATTGAATATTTAATTGTGTAATATCAACATATGGAGATGCCAATAGAGCACATACGCAAGTTGCAGATGTTGCCTTGTGGCACAGTACCTGGATCCCAGCTCACTCTCCCAGGTATTTAAGGCCTCTATTGAAATGGTACCTACAGGCTGTTGAGAGCGATGTGAGCTGGTGGTTAAATAATACACTAAGATCAGGAGAAACAAGACATATCAGAGCTCACAAAGTACTTTTTTCTCAAAGGGGAATCACACTGCTTCTTACCCAGTTGCAAGTAAAATAAATCTAACTGGCAATCTGGCAGTCCTCTACTTGATTCAAGAAACCCAAACTGCTGTCAGTAACCTCAGCACTCAGATCATTAAGCCTCTCTTAGCTGATCAATTTGTCCCCTGCAGCAGTTCCTACTGCAGAAATTCCCACTGATGCCAGTAAGGGAAGCACTAAACAATTACAGGCTGGCCCGTTGTTGAACCTGCTAACTAGGTGCTCATGATTTGGGGAGATATTGCCTTATGTTTAGGCCACTGGTAGTTTTACAAGGCAGAATGTCTTTGTTCTCAGCCCAGTGGAGACTAGGCGGCTTTCCACCAGCCAGCATTAAGAACAAAGGACTGACCTGACCAATGACACCAAGACTGGACCCAGAGTCTTCTGGAGTTCTGACTCCAGGACACCAACATGGAGTGCTATTAAAATACCAGTATTTTGTATTGTGCAGCTCTCCAAAGAGTCAGGACTATTTTAACTACGATTTTAAGTTCAGCTGTACTTCAGACTTTATAAAAAGCAAGCAAACAAAAAATACACATAGGAACTATTGCAGGGCACTTCCCTGATGTGACTCTTGCTATTATACCTCTGCCATCTGTCCTCCCCACTGGATCTAGTAGCATAGGAAAATTCAGGAGGTCTTTAGTCTTACCTGCTGCTCAAAGGAAGGCAACCTGCAGGATCAGAGCAGATTGCTCAGGACTTTATCCAGTGGGTCTTAAAAAACTCCCAAGGTAGGAAAATGTACAACTTCTCCAGGCAACCTGTGTCACTGCTGGGTGTGAAACAGTATTATTTATGTCTAGCCTGCACCTCCCTTTTCAACTTGTGCCCAGCCTCCCACCACACATGACTGTGGAGAGCCTTTATGATCTTATGATGCTGGGGGACTGCTGTGAGGTCCCCCAGTAGCCCTCTCTCCTTCAGGGTGAACAAGCCCCACTCCCTCTTCCTCTCTTCACAGGGCAAGTGCTCTGGCCCCCCACCAGTGGGGTGGCCTTTGCTGGACCTGCTGTAGTTGGCCAATATCTTTCCTGCCCAGAGGTCCCAAAACTGGATGCAGCAGCTAGGTGTGGTTGGCTGAGTAGGGAAGAGCTGCTTCTGTCAATCTAGTGACCATGCCTGCTTCACCCAGCTGGGAGGCTGTTGTCCCTCTCTGCTGCCAGGATACACCACCACCTCTTGTTCTTGGTGTGCAAGACCTGTATCCCCTTCAGCAGAGCCACTCCCCAGCCCAGCATTCCCCAGCCTCTAGCACTGCAAGGGGCACTTCCTTCCCAGGCACCAAGCTCTACACCTGTCCTTGAATTTCATAAAGGGTTCTATCACCTCATTCCTGCAGCCTGTCCAGGTTGCCCTGAATGACAGACCTTCCCTCCCGTGTATTGAGTGGTTCATGTCATTTGGCATTATTTGTAAACTCGATGAGAGAGTTCTCAGTATACTTCTCCAGGTCACTGACAATTTTGTTTAACAGGAAAAGATCCAGGACAAATCAGCTTTTGCATAGAGCAAGACCCCTCAACCACTTCCATCTCATCCCTGTCATTCAGACAATTTCTTACCTATTGTGTTCTTCACTAGAATTTTAAGTTTCTTTTATAATATCATAGAATCAATGGTTTGGGTTGGAAGGGACCTTAGAGATCCTGCGATGGACAGGGACACCTTCCACTAGAACAGGTTGGCTCAAGGCTCCATGCAGCCTGGCCTTGAAATACATTACCAGGGATGAGGCATTCACAGCTTCTCTGGACAACCTGCACCAGTGTCTCACTACCCCCACAGTGAAGAATTTCTTCCTAATGTTGTATTAGTCAAATTGTATTCACTGGAATGTTTAGGACCTTTGCTGTTCTTTGCAATACAAACTGTTCACTCGCCTGCTAGATATAAGGAACATCCAAGTTGCCCAAATCACATCCAACAGTCAGGAGAAATCACGTTACCCAGAACAACACTTTATGCAGTATTTACATCATACAACCATTTTAAAGAACTTTGCCACTATTTAAAACTACAGTTTATTAGATGCAATACTTGCTATATTAAAAGAAAAAAATCCATCTAATTAACCTCTCCTTGTATAAGTTAGTATATAAATAAGGAAACCATAATAGCATAGCAGAGGGGTTTTAATGCCTCATGAAGCTGTACAGCAATTACTCTGTACCATAACTAACTTGAAAAATCTTAAGAATACTACTTGGATGATGCTACGATTGTCAAAATTATATTTCTCATTCTAAGTATAGTTTTGTGATTTCCTAATAATAAAGGAAGTAGGTGTATTGCCACCTAGGCTGACAATTCAAGTTATTCGTGAAAGGAATTTCTCACTCTATGGTTCATGAACCATTAGCAATCAGTAAGACATCAAATAATGATTTAAAATTCCCTCTCTCCTACTCAATGCCTCCAGACTAAAATATAAAAGCATATTTTAAATGTAGCTGCAATCTTATGCATTTGTAAATAGAAAACTTTGTTTGGGCAACATCTCAAAAAGCTCTACCATTTTTTATTTTATATTTGCCTCATTTAAAAAAAGTTGGGTACATGAATCTCGTACAAATACAGTATGATGACGACAGAAGAAAAGTGCCACTTTTTCTTTAAAAGATTCATAACTACATCTTATACCAGACCAAAACTGAGTATAAACTCAATAAAGTGGATAAATTCGAGACATTGGGGTGGTGTGCGTTGTTTAATCTTTTTTTTTACTTGTCTTCCTATTTATGCAACGTAATTAAATTAAGACCTGTAATTTGCTTTGGCATTATATTTGCTGTCTTGATCTGATTTGGAAAATTAAGAAAATAAATAAATAAATAAATAAATAAATAAATGGAAGAAAACCGTTTTTTTTTTTTTTTTAAATGTGCCCCAGCACAGATGCAAAATTCCACATGGGATCTTGAAAAGCAGCGTGTATGTGTAGAAACATGTGTGTGCTTACATATACATGTACATACACACACAATCTGTTGCTTGAAAGTAATCACTGAAATGACAAAGTTAAAAAGTCCTAAGACTGTCCTGGTCATGGTGCCAATTCACAAATATGTCTTTGAACCTACACAACAAAACCTGCGGTTTATGACCCAAGGAACACAGTAGTTTTGTCATCATTCAACTAAAAAGTTCTGGAAGGTGTTCCTGGTGATTTAGTGCCAATCTACCATGCTGCTTGTCAAAGTCAGAGAGACTGGCAGACAGAAGCTCACAGAAGAGTATGAATTAAGATAAGGCCCTAAAGCCCAACATGCAGGAAGTGAGGCTCCTAAGGAAGTCAGTAATAACCTCAGCTGGTGGATTTCTTTAAGTTGTTTTGACATCATTTCAAGGACTTAAGCTGACCAGAGCTCAGTACTCAGGCCCAGGGATCTCACAGGCTTTATCAACTTCCATGCTGCAGCAAGGGGCAGCTCCAGCAAGAAGCAGAGCAAGTGCCATCACCTCCTCAGCCCAGCTTCATCACCACTCTCATCTGAGTAGCAGGTCAGATATTGGGATTTTCACACCAAGGCTGATGAGGCACCTGACAATCACAGCTACTGGATCAGGCTTTTCAGGGAACTTAAAGACACCAGATACCAAATCTGTTGGTCTAAGGATAAGCGTAGAACCGAGCAAAGACCTTGCAAGAAGAAAGTAGTTTTCCACCTAGACAGAAACAAAAATCTGAATGCATAGGAGAGTAAATTTTTACCTTTAAAATTACCTAAGAGATCAGGCAAAGGTTTTGTGAATTGTGCCCTTATTTTTATGTCTCAATTCTACCCATGTCCCACCCTAAGCCAGCAAAAGTTTTGCAAGTTGCCCTTATGCATAGGCGGATAGCTGGATTTACTGGGTCTTTTTGTGGACCTGCCTAAGTCTGCTGTATCAAGGGTAAAGAATGAAGTATCAGGTAAAACTCCCATGGACCAAGAGCAAAAACCAGGCAGATAAGCAAGCTCTGCTTCATTAAATAAACTGGGAATCACCCACAGCAATGACAAATAAATGCACTCAGTCCTGCCTGACTTCTAAAGCTGTAGAGGATAACTAGGACTGGTTATCATGTAAGGGGAAAACTACCTGGGAATTCCTAAGCTAAGAAGTTACAGATGAACATTTTCTGAACATTAAAGCAACACATGAAAAATGAGTCTGCCTGCTGCTGGTAGTATGGATGGACAGAAATTGCACCAGAATAAATCAACCTCTATGCACTTTTCTTACACATAAAAACTTATGCATCTGACAAGTAAAGAAAATAGTCTCAAGAGGCTGCATATTTTTAAGATTAAATTACCAGGCTATGCTGTTAGAAATATTCTTCCTGGCCCAGCTGAGCATCAGTCCGAGTGCTGTTCTGCAAGGCAGCCTCCAAAGGCTTCCTTAGCCTGCCATGTTGATTATCAGCAACAACAAACTGAGCAGCATGTACAAGATTGGCCTTTCCCTGTCCTTTGTTCATACTTCCAAACAACACTTAGCAGCTAAAGCAAGTTTTGCGAGTAAACAGACAAGAAAAAATATGCTATTGTATGTGTGAAGTTATGGCACTGGACATACAACAGGGATGTTTTCACAACTGCTACTCATTAGCTTCATTAATTTCACAGCATTTTCCAGAGATAGGACTGGCCAGCTAATTTGTTGAATTTTTAAATTTGTTAATACATCAAATTTGTTAATTGGTCAGTAGTCTGCTCTGAAAATAATGGAGAAAGCAGAACTAGAACTTGTTTTTATTTCTTTTTGTTAAGAAGGAAAATCTCCCTTACAAAGTCAGAAAAAAAGTGTTTCATCCAAAATAATCAGATACAAATAATTACATCAGGAAGGAAGTTATCAGCAACAGAATCTCACAAAAAACCCAAACCCTTTACTTCTTACAAAGACATGAGAAGTTCACTTTAAAGAACAGAACAAGTAGCCATCTTTAATGCATTTGTTTCAACTGATATTTTAGAATAGTACTTCATTTTACTCAGGAAACAAAAAGGCAATCATACAAAAACAACAGCTAGTCAGTTCAAAATCATCAGACAGAATGATTTTGCTACCTACCATTCACATCAATTTTGCTTTTGCAGAATGACTCATATCATATACACGTTCCACTTCAGAAAATTAGGACCCCCACCATCTCACTTCTCCCAAAATGAAAACTGTCATGATTTCATTTTTTGCTAATACAGACTGATATACCAGTGAAATGAGTGACTAACCTTTGATGTGCATTGATGGCCACTCCTTTAACAAGAACCAATTAAACCTACTGCATAGGAATAAACTATTTTCTTTAAAGCTTCTTGTATTACAGCATTAGTTAAATGATGCAAGTGTAGTATTCATACAGTACATGCTATTCCCAGGCAGGTTTTTCCCAACAGTCCTTTTTGCTTTATCCAGTCAAATTGTGTCATGTGTCTTGCCACTCTAATTGCAATGAAGTCTCTAAACTATGTAAAATTAGTATTTCCTTTTAGGATCAACTAAAATTTTTTTCATCTCCCTTTAATGAAAGTAAGGGAATTGTGACAAAGTCTCAGGAACCTGGTAAAAAATAATTCATATTCTTTCTTCCTTTCAAGGAAAAATCCATATAATCTGGACAGCCACCACAGATGAACTACAAATGCATGTTCTGGTGGATAAATAATTAAAGCATTCAACCTCATATTAACTGCTCTTAGCCACTCACCTCTGGCTAAATAACCTAGAAAATGGAATATCTAAATTTTATATTTGTAGCATTTCAAGTTGTTTGTTGTACCTCAAACGATAGAGCCTGAACGGACAGCAGGAAGTTTTTCAGTCTTGCACTGAATCCACTATACTGTCTCATCTCATCATCATCCTCTTAGGAGAGTTAATTCATCTGCAGACAATTTTCCGCTAGGAATCTGTAGTAGCCAAGTGCCCCAAACTGCACCTACTCCCAGCTGTCAGCTGAAACTTGTCCTCTTTAAAGTCTGAGATCCATGACTTCAGCACTCCCCAAAGCCAGTCCTAGGTTGCTAGGATGTATGGAAGTATGTACATATACTTTGGGATATGAAGCATAATGCAGAGATGTGAGCATTACTGGAGAACTAAGCCAGGAAGTGCACCCAGAGCCATATGCAAAACAGGTCCCCTCCTGTTTGTTCCCTGCTGAGTCAGTCCTACACCAGACTCACATGACTGGTGTAGGATCTGAACAACTGCAGCCAATAAAATCCATCTCAACTCCACGCCACATGGACCTACCTTCTTCAGGTCCACTGTTATGAAAACCCCTGCACTATCCCAACTGCTACAGAGTAAACACACTCTATGACTTGAAGCATGTCTAAATGACTATTTGACAATCTCAGAGATCCTTTAATATGCAAAAGAACTAACTAAAACCAAGAATCTTCTCCTTCATAGTTCCAAGCCCCATATATACAGTTAATGAAAACTGCAGTCTGTAGTCCCATTAGTCCTTTTTTCTGGAGTTGCAGCTTTCAAACCACGCTCATGAACAAACCCTACTACTTCACAAATGAACAGACTCAAGGGTACGGTGGTGCTGGAAACTTGTACAGCATCTGCCATATTTCCTGTGAATCATCACACTGTCACAGATTTTCTCTGGCAACCCTAAATATAGAGTTGTTTCTTCATTAATGAAGAACCCTACATTTAAGACTAATTTTTGAATTTTATTTTAAAAGATCCAAAATTTAATGAAAGAAGCAACTACTTCTGCAAAAAAACCCCCCAGACAGTAAGAGAACTTTTTCAAAGTTTGTAAGGGATCATGAGTCCAACTCTGTGCTCCTTGCAGGAGCATAGCTGTACATAACTTTACATAACTGTAAAAGATATCAGTTTGCTTTAGATCATCTTAAAATTTTAATTATGACAATAAATATGAATAAGAAACTGTGCAGAGCAAGTAGACATGAAAGCCATTATGCAATGTATCTGCTGCATCTCCTCTGACCCAAGCCTTCGGATTTCAGTTTTTGGCACTGGATTCCAACAAGTCTTTTGCTTCATTTATTTTTGTTGCTAAGTAAGGCGATCCACCTGAGAAGAGAAAGGGAAAGGGAATACTGTTTATACATCAGTATTAAGTACCAAACTACTTCACTTGCAGTATTCCTTTATTACTCACTTTTATTAGCTCCTTCTTCCTACACAGATCCTTTTGATACAACTGCTTAATAAATTACATTGATAAGAAATAAACTAATTGATAAGGAAACATGAGAAATGTAATCAAAACTGAAGTCACTGAAGAACAACACTGAACATTTTGTCTCGGAGAGAAGACTGAAATTTGAAAACACTTTACATCACTGTGATTTAGACCTGCAGTGCGATGCTTCTGCAAATGTATGCAAGGTCAGCTGTCTTAAATATTCACTCAAACCAAACAGCTAGTATTTCCACTCATCCCAAAAACTGAGAAGGAAAATTTTAAAATAATTTTGACAAAGAATTATTGTGTGCACATGCACACCTTCCCCCGCAACCTTCTCCTGCGCTGGGTGCCCAAAATTACCAGCCAGAAACCATCACATTAAAGCTGTTTAAACATGGTAAGCCTTCTAACTTCTAGTCCTGAACACTGTCATTGCTTTACGCTCCATCTAACAATCTGATTACAGTTCAGCAATCTTTTTGTGTTTGGTTTTTTTTTTACTCTCCCCTTGAGTGCCAACCATCTGTCTGCAGTCACCAAAAACAACATTACAAGGTCTGTATCAGTAACTTATTACTTACTATCACACATCTATATTTTCTACGTGAGAATGTGATTCCAGCAGTACTGTGCACTGAATAGCCTTTTCCAAGGCATCTGTTCAAACGCATTTTTCATTCACCATTTCACTCATTCTATTAATCAGAAAAGACAACGACAGACGAAACATATAGAGCTACTTGTAGACATACATAAATAAAGACAAAAAGGCAAGGCTTGCTTAAAGACTTCTTTAGGACAATCCTGCAGGAATCCAAATCAGTATAAAGTCATTTCATGGTGCAGTAAAACAACTGGAAAAAGTAATGAAGTTCTTTTTCATGTTTTGGTCTTGTTTGAATGCAGCCTTAATAGGTAAGACACGCTGGAGGAAAGTGAGGCAGGGCAAGGGATGGGTAACGAATTGGCTACTTAAAAAAGAATTTATTTTTTCCCTTTTTTTAAATCAAGTAGCTTTTAGCAAGGAATAGGATTTACTACATTGAGTATTGCTTTTTTCAAAGAGTAGATAAGAGGATCAAACAAACAGTAAAGACAAAAACCTGCAATGAACAATGTATTCCAAGTAATTTTTAAATGTGCATTGATTTTCTATCTGTCTAAAGTACAGGATCTTAAAGTAAATTCAAATCTGTTAGAATTGTTTTCACTACATTTACATCCTTAAGTGGCATATTAATTTTGCAGCCCTCCAATGAGAGGAAATTCAATCTCATGATTGCCTAAGTGTTTGTTTATAATTAGGGCAAGTCCAAAAGGCTTCTCTCTTCCTCTTTTTCTGTGAAGAAATACTCTTTCCTAAAATTAGTAACTGATAAATTAACACGATACACAACACAATATATCCATACAATATATCAATATAAAAACACTTTGAACTGTAAAAGTTCATGAGCAACTGTTTTAGTAGTACTCACTGAGGATGTTATTAGGCAAATTTCTATATATTCATTTACTTCTAATAGTTCTCTCTTCAACAGTTTGGATCTCACATAACATACGTAACTTAAAAAAATCTGTAATGAATGACCTTTCTTTTATCAACTCCAGCTGGTAAAATATTATTTTAAAATGACATTACAATGTTGAATATAGTTTTTAAAAGCACATTTGTGCCACCCACAGCCAGAAGAAATCAAGATCTATACACAAATAAACAAGTCTCTCTGTGATGCCTCATGTTCAAGATTACTCCAAGCCCTTGCTCTGCAGTTGAACATATTACACAAGCCTTTTTTCTACAGCCATGCCAGAAGAGCTTCAGGGGCAGCAGCACAGAGGCACAAATCCCTTCAACTGGTGTTACTGGAGAAAATGCTCCATCTTAATACCATGCAGGAGGGCTCACCACATCCATCCAAACCTACGCTGTGCCCAGCTGCAGGTGCATTACAGCTGTAAGAGCAGCCACTAAAATCTTTGTTAGGGTCATTAGGATCTTCCTAACAGGAACTCTCTCTTTAGGTCTACTCAATAACCACATGGGGATTCACAGTTCTTTCTGGCTCACATCTCCAAATACTGCTACAATAAACTTAGAAGTTCAGCATTAAAAAATTTTGACCTAATAGGTACTCTGGTGGTTAAGAGGCCTTTGACAATTATAATATATTAGAAATGCAGAAGAGAATTTCTTTCCTATGTTTGTGCAGCTTACACATTATAAAAAGTGTAAAAAATGAAAGTGTGAAATCAAATAATCAGGACAACTTTAAAATTAAACTGAGGGGTGAAGACAGAAAAGAAACACTCAACTGAACACTTTCCATGGCCAGTGGTCACAGTTATCTTTTCATTTTCTTAAAATGGGGTGCTGGCAGGGAGCCCTGTAATTCTGTCAAAAAGATATAAAACCCCTCCAATTTCCCCTTTTGACTTCTGAAATACAGTGCAACTCTTCACCATCTGTTATTTTAAAGTAGAAACAGCAATGAACATATGGGCTTTCTTTCTCAACCAGCTGTAGTGTAGTTAAAGTTATAATAATAGCCTTTCTCTAAGATAAATTTACATTAAAAACCTGGCCAGTAAAGCAACAGTGCCCAGCTTTACATTCTTTCCAAGTGAATTCCATAAAGTCTGAAATTCATCAATGATGTACTTAGTAACTGCAGAACATTTCCCCACAGAAAGTTATTTTCATGCATGTGACTGGTCCATCACAGTTCAAAACAGGAATGTTAGATAATGTAAAATTTTTACAGCTTATTTTTGAATAAGTTTTTGCCAAGTGTGGTAAGCTGGTCCCTGAGATCATAGTTTTAACTGAAGCAGTACAAGTACAGAAAACAACATTGAAGAAAGACGAGTAAAACTGTGGTTCATAAAGCCCAGTTTATGCGAGAGAAGACACACAGAAGGTCAAGTCAGTAAATAAACAAAAACCATTTGCACTCAATGTTATTTACACAGTCAGAAAACTTAGACGATCTCATTTAAACCTCTTCCTTTCCAGCCCTCGTTAAGAAGAGTAATAAGTATTTACCTTTATCAGGATGATTCAAAATCATGATTTTTCTATGGGCTATTCGGATTTTGTCCCTGCCAGCAGATGGACTGCAAAATAAATATAAGTGCTTACCAGAAATGCAAAAGCGCTCAGGCTAAAAATTAACAGTTTATACTGGCTTCAAAAACATTAAAACTTGAAATTTTCACCATCTTGTGGACAAAACATTAAACTGCATCTCTAAGGGAGTAACAATAACAAAGGCGTGTAAGACACATTTTTCAAAAGCCTGTGTATTTCACATACAAATATCTTTCAGGTTTTTGTTAAACACAATGCATCCACTCATTTAAAATAAACATTTTTGAGAGGGTGGAATAAAAAAAATGAAAGCCCCAGCAGTTGTAGGGTGTACCTGGTTGGTTATTCTAGCATTAAGTGCAGAAAAAACAATTCTTGCTCCAAGAAAATAAATATTTTTATGACCAGTGACAAAACAACAAATATTTAATATTATCGCATTTTGTTCTACTGTAAATATTTTTATAGCTGCTATAAATATTTTCTCTTTCTGCTGGGGCCTGAAAAAAAGCCTGCATGTTGTTATTTTTGCAAAGCCATTCAATGTGTTACATTCAGGGATATGCTGATTTACAGGCGCTACCTACATAATATTGTTTCCTTCAATGACAGATACATAAAATATGTATTCGGCCTAAACTAAATACGTCCCTTACCAGACAAACAACCACTTATGGATGCAGTATGCCAACACAGCAGGGCTATCATATGCAAAAGGATGGTTTGAATGCTTCGGTTTTTTATAATTTGTTAGTTTGCAGAAATGAATCAGTGTTTTCCACTTCAGGTGACTTCTTAATCAGAGTGATGATTCAATTAATTAATCTTTCTGTAGATACAGTTTGAATGCAAGGTATCAGCCTAACTAAATTCCCGAGGTAAACAACCTCTCTAATTATTATTCTGTCACAGTGAAATTAGGGTATGTTGCAAAAACAGTTCACAGAACTGCATAAGAAAGGAATAATTCAATGGAACATAAAGTAGACTAGAAAGTAAGAATCAAACAGAGGGTGAAAGGCCTTGAACCATATAAATACAAAAACGAAACGACTTGTTGTCAGACAACTGAAAAAAATAATCATCTATATTTTGATTTGCAAAGCTGTTTTTTAATAATAAAAAGGAAAGCCGATATATGGCATTTAGAAACGCTGATGGTCAAAGCACAACTGGGGAGAAGTGGCAGTTGCATATTACAGAAAATTGTGCAGGTCTGCTCTGAGAAGCAAATATGAAAACGGTTTACGTTAAATTTTCTTGGTTTAGGAGATATTGCTTATCCCACAGTTAGACCGGTCCCTAAAAATTCTTAATGACTATAAAAAAAATATATGTCAAAATCACATTTTCCTTGACTCACAACCTGAGTCACACCAACGATATGCTGCCTTCAACATCAACTGGCTGAGAAGTTCTTGGTGGGAACAGTCAATATGCTGGAGGGCAGGGCTGCCATTCAGGGGAATCTGGGGAGGCTGCAAGAGTGGGGTGATAGGAACCCTTCACAAAACTCCTCAAGGACAGGTACAGAGCTCAGTTCTTGGGAAGGAACTGTTCCTTGCAGCTCTAGAAGGTGGGGAATGCCAGGCTGAGGAGTGGTTCTGCTGAAAGGGACTCAGCGCACAGCAAGAACATTCCTCCACTGCAGTATGTTACTATGCCTCTAATACAAACACAAATCACATGGTTTATGAGCATTTTATTGTTTGCTTTTTAGTTTAAGCAGAATATTAGAATAATTTATAAGCCAATACAAGTCTTACAAAAAAAGTCTCTTACATGGTTTCAGCATGAGTATTCCACATTCTTGCAACATGCATCTCCTTCATTCAATACTTGCTAAACTAAAACATATTGATGCAATGCACCTACCTTACCCCTAAAATAAGACTAGCTTCTCGCCTATTCATTTTCTGTTCAAATCCTCCTTTATAGTATGATGAAAAACTCTAAAAAGAAGAAAGGGAAAAAAAGCAATAATTAGTTTCATGTACAAGGTGCCAGGAACTAAATCGTATTTATATGACCTCATTCAGAGCATTAAATTCATCTATAATTTATTTCAAAGGCATGGAATGACTGCAAACCAGATAATATGAAAGGACTTCTCCTGAGTGTTAACACATGCAAAAACTGACTTAAAAATAACTATCTGTGTTTTTAAAACATTCCTTTCTATGTTTTTACAATCTTCTACTGTTAATAAGATATATTAATAGCTACAACCCTTAAAATCCTGCCTGCAGGCAAAAAGGTCCAGAATCAAAGTACATACTAGCACAGAGTAGTACAGTGTTTGTGCTGGGGAGGGCAGGGGAAGGAATTATGCTGAGGACAGCATAGGTACCATCACAATGAAAAAAGACCAAGTATTGTCATCCAAGGAAATTAATGACAATGACTCCAAATATTTCTACAAATACAGTAGGTAAAAACAACAACAGAGATAAGAACAGATAAATACAACGTACTGATGAAAAGGCAGTATCTTTTTTCCACTTCAAGGAATTTTACTTAAAAAAAATATATCAAGAGTTCTTTAAAGGAAACCCAGAAATTAACAAAAAGAAACAATTAAAAGGCTTAGCATAAAGCCACAACCTCTGTTTCAGAAAAATCACTGAGCTGGAGAACACTGGAAAGTAGTAAAGTATATGGGGAAATCCTAACCAACTTTTGCCTTTACATCTTTCCCTCGACACCAATGACTGAGAGGATCTGAGGCTAGTTTTTTTAAACTTCTTGTCATGTGAGACTTAATCCACTGTTTTAAGAAGGGAAGAAAAAACAGTGGGAAAAAAAACATTTAAAAAGAGGAGATGGAGATAAGAGCAAAACATTACAAAAATTAATTGTCATAGGAAATGGGTCAAAGGCATATTTGTCAACTATAGATCTATTTTAAATTAAAAAAAAATAATTTACTGAACCACTACTGATGGTTAGCAGTGATCTCACAGTAAACCTTTCTCTAAGTCCCAGAGGCAGTAGATGTAGCTCCAAGACAGCCTGCCTAGGGGAACTGGAACACAGAAATCACTCAACAAGACTGATTTTTTTTCCTCAATGCAAAACCTATCAATGGGAAAAATAAGCTTCTTTTGCTGCTATCAAAGGGAAGTCTGGGCATGAGAGCTGAGATTATTTTCAAGTGTTCCTTTCACCCCCAAGGAAAAATATGCCCGGCCCTTAATAAAACACTCTTCTCACTAAATATAGCCATTCAAATTCAGTGAGAATTTTGCCTTATGTCTACACAAACTCTCTTATGTAATTTCAAAAGCATTAAAGCATTTAAAGGGCTCTGTCTATGAAATCTAAGCAAAGCCTTTAATTAAACTTAAAAGAGACATTCTTTCAAAAGTGTGGTTCAGAAATACTTTACCTATTGCTGCCATAAAGTCACATACAGCCGCAGAAAAGATTTTCTCGTGTGCTATTATTATCCAAAACTAATTTTACCTTCCTTCTTTCCACCGCAAAACATGCACAAAACAGCCACTACTGTAACACTGCAGGTTATCAAAGCTGAAGTAATTCTGGACACTGTGTGCCTACAACAAAAATCTGTTGAAGAACCGCTTCTATAGCTACAGGGTAACATGAACCAGGTCTGTAACACTGCACATTGACATTACAGGTTAGAGTACGTAACATGAAGGGAACACACAGGGCTTCTCTGATTCTCTGAGAGGAAATGATACTAATAATTTAATGGTCAACAGATAACCCCCTTGAGGAGGCAGAACTGCACAGAAATTTGCAATGATGCCAAACAACTACTACAGCCAGGAGAGAAAAGCACAATTTAATGTCCTCTCAAAGATTTTTCCAGAGCTTCTCTCAAAGTAGTCTAGGTACAGATGGTTTCCTGAAAAGGTTAATTCTGTTCTGCCCTTCAACTCTGATACGCAAGTCTAACACATGATAACTCTGGTTCGCTATTCACATAGAGAAGAGTAATATTTGAATTATCTCTACCATGGCTTGTCTCTGTTCTTGGTAGATTTCATCTATAATACTATTTGAAATATAAGAATAGGGAGGAATGGCTATAGGCTTACATTCAGAGATATTTTTTCATGTTTTTAAAGCCTACTTTCTTGACACTGTTCTAACCTCAAGAAGCCTTGATTCGGTTCACTTCCAAGAGGAATGAAAAAAGAAATTTTGGTGTCTGTGTCCTTTCATACATAAACAAAGAAGTCTGATGAACTGGTCTTCAAGGAAAAAAAAAATTTCCTCAGAAATGAAGGATATTAGCAAGAATAATAAATTCTTAAATTAAAATCTTCATCCTAAACAGAATTGATAGTAAAAGGAAATCAGACATAAAAACCATTTTTCCTACTGGTTACAAAAAACGGGAAGAATCATTGAGCACTCATCTTATGAAACACCTTGGCAAATTTCTAATTCTCTAATGAAACAACTTTTGCATGCTACTCAAACTAAAGCACTTTTTCCTAGTTGTAAATTTTAAGTAATGACTGTAATGATATTTTTCTGCTATGAGAACTCCTCAGTGAGCAGGCAGCTCTAGATACTTGATTATTTATTAACACCAGCAATTGCAAAGAAAATTCAGTACCAAAAAAATCATTGAAATGAGCTCTCCATTTCTTTGCACTATTTGGGGGGAGGGGAGGCTATCATTTAATTTACTTAATTTTCTTGCAAATTATTACTGCTTAGCAACTTATGTAAGCAAATTCTCCTTCCTGAACAAATGCTATTAATAGGTTTGGAGCAGGGGAAGGGACAGAAAATGGCTGCACTTGCTTTGCAAATGTGTATTCAGTCTTGCAAATTTTCACAAAAGCCATCAGCTAGGAAAATCCAATGCGTATGGACGATGGACATCTTCAAGATACTTTTTCCAGCATAGCATAGGAAAAGCATGATCACCGTTTCCATGTCAGTTAAGAGACTGAAAATACCAAAACTGAGACCATTACATGGAGTAGTGCATTTTTCTGAAAACTCAGGATGTTGTTGTTCCAGCACCAATAAAGTCCTCCATTGAAAAGGTAAAAAACATTGGAAGAAAAAAAAAACAAACATAAAACCCAAACTACAATAATAAACTATTTAGAAGCTGTTTTATAATACAAAGCACAATTTTGCTAACATCAACTTCCTTAAATTTAGTTAGGAAAAAAAAATAAAATGGCCCACAAATCACACTGTTCTCTGGAAATTTGATTTTCAATTAAGAACAAGAGAGATGGTTGGGACCCTTCCCTCTCAATTCAGAACTCTATCAGTCTGAGCAAAATCAGATCCAATAAGGGAAACATATTGCAAAAGTCTAATAAAGTGCTAGAAAAGACATCCTTTTCTTACAGAATACAGAATTTTCAGGACTGTGGGATTTGAGTATTTTGACAGTTCATTTGGCCTAAATTGCTGTTTCTGCCTTCAATATCTTTGTTCTATCTATCTATCTATCTATCTATCTACCTATCTTTCCATCTGCCTATCAAGCTTCAATATCATTAATTCAACAGAGAAAGGTAATGAATGCTACTGAAATACTTGCCTTTTTATTTCACATATTAAGGACATATCAACATTATAATTAATGGCATTTATTCTGAGGAAGAAAAGCCAGTTGACTACTTAGTGCCATGCACCTTCTACTGGCAACAGACTCTTGCCACTACACACAGAAACAAAACAGTGTCACTGACATTTGTGATGACAGTGACAAAGCTAGGCTCAAACTGAAAAAGCATTTCTCTGGAAGTGAGCATTATGACTTTTCATAAAGGGGAAATGACAATGTTTCCTCTAATGTCTTTCTCCACTGAAATAAAAATGGCAGAAAACTTCAAGGCTAAATTACAACAGCATTTACAAATATATATTCTTAAATATGAAGTAACTGCTTTTAGTTGAAGTTAAATGAGAGGTAAAAATTCAGAATAAAACATAACACTTTTACTTGCCTTTACTTAATATTTTTGACTAAAAGATGACTGCACTTGTTGACTGTTCATGCTACTTACTTAGGTAAGTTAATAAGAAGTGTCAAATACTCAAGATACAGCAAGCAGCATTTTAAATGATCGCTTCGTAATTGCTCAACTTGACCTTTTTGAAGTCATTTGTTAGTGAGCAGGAAGAAAAAATAAATAGCATCTGTATTATCTTGTGTGACTGGGAGGGACCAACATGAATTGTGACTTCTACTGCAAAAAAAGGAGGAAAAGAATTGTAAATGGGGGAGGAAGAGTGGGGGCTCACTAAGAGAATAAGATAGCTTTTGAATAGGCAGCTACTTCACAAACTCAAAAAAAAAAGGCAATATAGGACAAGATTTGATTCTAGAAAGCTAGAATAACCACTGGAAATTACAGTGACCAAGTTAGGTGCCTTCAAACATCACAGAAAAGTAGCGAAGCCTAGACACTAAAGGTCTCGAGATGTTCTTTCCAGTAAGCACAGGCAAAAGTGCTAACTGATTGATATCTTAGTCAGCATAGTTTAAAGAGCAATATGCTGTCACGAAATGTGATGAAAGTGCTAATTCACAAATTATACTCAGCAGCTTCAAATTCCGAAAACAAAATCATGTAAAGCTGCTAAAATAAGAAGTTTGGACAAGAAGTACTTAAATAGAGAACCTTTGTATCTAAAGTTTTCTCTATTTTCTCTATTGATTGTTAGGGGGAGAAGAAAAAACATTAAAAAAATACAATTCAAGAAAGCAGTAGATGTAGACTAGTAAAAATCAAATAATCTTGGCTAAGAACTATATAAGGGTCTTAAACTTGGATGGCAGTTGCCGAAGAAAAATACTATCACTATCCTCACAAATGTAAAGCTGACAAATATATACAGTTAATAGCAAACAGGAAGAGAGTTTTTACTGTATTCAGTAGATCTTATCTTACACTGAAGACTTGTATTTTCAAGTTAAAAAATAGAAGAGCAGAAGGGAGATACTCTGCTGGAATAATCAACACACAATTCTGGGCAGTAAGGCAGGAAGACAGAGTACGTAAGACAGAGGATACTGCTCCAGGGACTAGAAACACTTAGAATGCAGAAGTTCCTGGTTTGCTCTTTACAGTTGTTCATGAATTCTGCAGGCCTCAAAAGTCACTGTGGTAAAAATGAGATAGGTATGTAATGAACTTGGCTCAGCCAGTACTGAGGGGTACAGTTTCCAAGGAACAGATACCTCTCAGTGCAGTAGCATGTCATATTTCAATGTGTTAAAGAGTCACTGTCTGCTTTCTTATGTGAACACATCTGAATTTAGATTCTCTAGCCTATATCTAAAAACGGATAGAAAAAGAATTGCTGGAGTATAACTGCGAGGAAGGGAGGGAAAGTGAAGATTGAAGTACTCCCTACTCTGAAGCCACATGTACTTCTACATATATCTAGCAAGCCTTCAAGTCAGACTGTATCTGTATCATGTGAAAACAATTTAATTCACAGTACCTAAAGTCCCCTCTGGTCTCTTGGCAGGCAACCTGGGAATCTCTCAAAGATTACTTTGAAAAAGAAAAAAAAATTGGCATTGGTCTCACAACAGCAATGCAATAGAGGGACAGAGAGCAAAAAACAAATCCAGGATCACCATTTTTGGCTGACACACATCACAATGAAGAACAAATGTGAACCAGCCCCAAGAGGACAGTTGAGTCTTCTCTTCCCCAGGAAGCTTGCCTTGATCAAGCTTGCCCCTTCAGCACATGAACACGAAAGACAGATGGCAAATGAATTTGGCCTGCAGTGTCTGTCTAGATGGGCTCTGTTTTGCCATCGGCCTAACATTAGTAGGTACAATGCTAATGGTCAGATTTTTAAAAAAACATATCTTTAATATATTTTTCAGGAAATAATAATCTGCAACAACTACTCCCTGATCACACTCACACATCAGCATGAAGAGAGGAATCGTATTCCTTTGCTGGGATAAGAGTTCAGAGACTATGAATTCTGAAGGAACACACTACCACAAGCAGACACCTACCTCACTGGGAATCACTTTAATCAAACGGGAATGGAACATATGTTTTTATTTACCAGAGGAAAACATAGCCACTGAAGCAGAAAGTAAATGCTCTCAAATATTCCCTGCATATGCTCCTCTCATAACACCCTACCTCTGGATTTTTTACCCTATAATTACATTTTTAAAAATATAAGGCAAAATCAAAGAACAAAAACTTGGTTAAAAGTTCAAATTAGCTGGAGAAGAAAAAAAAGACAACTCATATGTGAACCAGAACACAAGCTCCCCCATCTCCAAGGCAACCTTTCCTAGAAGTTTATCAATTTGTCTTCTTGACCTTTAACACTGTATCTAAAAGACTAAATTCTTTTACCCTTAGCCTCTTGAAATGAAACTGGATGTCATCACTTTACAATCTTTAGGAACTACCAACTGTCTCACAGCACACTTCAACAATTTATCATAAACTTACTAGTAAGTAAGTGTATGATAAGTATCATATGCTTGCTAGGGTTCCAAAGCAAAAAACATTGGCAGAAAAACTAGAACTGTTTATCAAACTTACAAACATCTTTTGATATATCTTCCTCTGTAGGGATTTAAAATACAGCAGACAACACACCAGAACATAGACAGTAGGGAGCAGCCCTATCCTGGGTAAAAAATAAACTATGTGGCACTTCTTGTATTTAACATAAAGCGTCTCCTTTCTGAATAGTAGAAATACAAAATCATACCTTTAGCATAAAGTAATATCTAAACTTACAGAAGTCGAAATCCTCTTTGCTGTCTCTGTAATTGCCTGCTCCAATGGTTTCCAAAGGTGGAAAGCATAACGACCTGAAAAAGACGGAAATTAAATGAAATTATAACCAATACTCACTAAAACAAACAACAAAACCCCCTCCAACCTATGTTCTTCAGCTTACATCAGAAAAAATTTTGGTTTAAAAAAAATCACAAACTATTGGGAGAGGAAGGAGAAGAATTTTAATTTCTTCATCAAAACACCTAGTCATGGACTGCAAAGATCCATTGTGTTTACTCACTATTTAACTCACTAAATAAACAGATTTAAATACATTTCAACATGATAAATGAAGATATCTGCCTTGTGAACTTTAAGAAAAAGGGCAGTTTGAAACATTAGCTTTGGATACACATTATTAATTAAATACTGTTCAAAGGTTATGTCTTCAAACAAAAGAAATCTATGTACTACACATTTCTTGTTGTGATGCTGTGTGCTTAATCACACATTTCGTAAGTACTGCATTTTTTATTTTGTTACAAAGAGAGGATCTTCTGGGATTCAGAGCCATTCAATTCCTCACTGGCAGTGGATGTTCATAGCTAGGAAAGGCTAGAAGGCACTCTATTAGATTGTTCTCAGAGGTACAAAGCAGGTCTATCAACTTCAGAATCAAGATTTATGCCATGTTACTGGAGGATTTTCCCCATAAATCCCCTCTCCCCAATTATGCTTTAACTATTCATTAGCAACATAACTTACTACTGCACACAGTGGAAAAACTTTTTATAAAGTGGCTCTGCTTCATTCAAATAGCATCTTCTTCATTCTTAAAATACCCAATGTGTCCATAAGTTATTTTTGTGATCTAAGCCTGTGTCTGTGTTAACACAGAAGTTAAAACACTGTTAAGAGTATCTCTGTTGGAATGTTGTGATGTACTGTTACCTCACTTTCTTTTTTCTGTTACTTTGACAGTTACTATTAATTCTTCAGCTCAACCAGCAGAAGAAATTCTACGAACATTCCTCTTCTGCTTCTATAAAAGCACATAAACCAACTGCTTAATGGATGCACATCACCAAAGACCTTGTCTTTCCTTCCCCTAATCACAACAACACAACTGAACCCACCAAACACCTGCTTAAGTTTTGTGCAACTTGTTCATCTATTAAATCTATTCTTGGTGCATGCACTTACACATTGCTTTTGTATGCTGAAAATAACAGTCAGTTAGTGTATTTCAAACCCAGAATGGACAGTTATCCAGACCAAGTAAACTAGGGAATAAATCATGCTAAACTCATGCCCTGTGTTCAGACTAGAACCTATTTTTCAGAGTAACATACAGTCCAAATGCAAAGAGTTTAGGTAATAAACAAAGTCCTATGGAAAGAGTTTAGTTTGATAAATCACTGTAGTCACTTAAACCTTCTGGTTTTCTCTATTTGAATTTGTTGAGCATCACCATCACATCACAAGATCATCTTGTGTTCTTTAGTACTAAAGAGCCCCCACGGTGCAATGTGTTATTAAGTAAATAAAGTAAACTTTTCACCTTACATTTTGCAGACAAAAAGCAGATGGAATATTTTAGCTCCTGTCCATAAAATTATTTTCCCCAGTTTTCTCTACTTTTCAAAAAGAATTTTTTAATATATGGCTTTGAAAGGGCAGGAACTATAACCAGATACAATTCTCTACAATACTCTCAAGTAACCTTTCCACTTTCCACTCTTTATATCCATAAAAACTTCATTAACCCTTTCTGAAACAGCAGTTTGCAAGTGAGAGTTCCACACTCAGCTGGTAATTTAGCTTACCTGCAAATGCAACAGTTGCAACACCAAGTCCAACAGCTACCATAGTTCTGGCCTAAAGCAGAAAAACAGGAATCAGAATAACATTCAAACTCTAATTTCATATAAATGCACCTTTTACTTTAACAAGTATTTCTGATGTCTGATGTGGACATTTCATATACAATTTACAAGAAAGATGAAAGTAAGTTCTGTATTCCTCAGGCTACATTAGATTTTTATAGTTCAGTCTCATTAACCCATGCCAACACATCAGGTTTAACTCGGAACTACCCACTAGCAAATCAGTGAACATACACTGAAATCAGTCTATAGTATATAATGATAAAAACACAAGGCAGACAACTATTCAGGATTACTTGAAATTACTTGTGCAGACTAGTTCAACACAGTATGTAACAGAAAGTACCTGTTTATTACAAAAACATAAAGAGCTAACTCAAAACTCCAATATCAGGTGTATGTATTTTCCTCCACAGTGTTTGAAAAAAAGTCAGGCACCTCAAAAAGGACAATAATAAGTATCCCCACGCTGATCAAGATGCTGACGAAAGGTATGAGGTAAACCTTGAAGAAGGGACTGACTTCTCACACGTTTGCAGAATTCAAGAAGGGTAACAAGCTCTCCATTTCTGAAAAGCCTACGAATAATCTTTGAAACAAATGAAATAGTCATCTGTGGCATTACCTGTCTTATCATATGACAGTTCAATAATGCCTTGTATTTTTCCCGGGGAAACCTGAGAAATCAGATTAGGCTTGTTTATCCTTAATTCAAAGCATAATGACAATGAAAACGCTTTTATCACCAGACTGTCTCTTCTATATATGACTTACTTCCGCAATTACTCAGTAACTGGTTTATACATTTTATACAAACAAGTCTGACAGAAGGACTTAAAGCTCAAACTTCAATGCAAGTGCCCTAATAACTGGATCTGCAGCCAAGTTGCCTTTGCTACTAAGATTCCTGGGGCTAAAATTCTTTGTCTTCAATTGTACCCAATCGCATTTCTAAACAGAGTGGGAGTAAGGGAAGAGTTTGGAAATAATGTTTTTAAAGCCTTCCTAGAGTTGGTTTAGTATGGGCTAGAACATGGGCTGAAAACTTTGCCCACAAACAGGCAGCTGTACAAGATGTAGGCACCGATTGCACCCAGTGGCTCCTACAGCTTTGGCTCTGAAGGAGAGCGGCTGTGATTGCAGCCTGTAGTACTGAGCTCAGTACAGAAAAAGTTGTAGCCAGCCCCGAGCACATCCAGAAGCAGCTGTATTCCTCTATATCTAGCTTCTGGATCCCAGAGATTATAACTAAGTACCTACCTCCCACCTACCTGAGGGGACTGTCCTAGATATTTGCATAAGACTGCAATTGCCTAGAGGTTTCTATTAAAAAAAAAACCAAACCAAACCAAACCAAAAAAAACCAAAAAAACCCAAAAAAAACAAAACAAAAAACAAACAAACAAACAAACAAAAAAAACCCACCAAAACCCAAAAACAAAACAAAAAACCAACCAAACAAAAAAATCCCCCTCACTAAACATACTGAAACTGAAGCTCCAGAGTTAAGACTGGGGGAATTCTGGCCTTAAAGATCTTCCTGTCTAGCCCATTTTAGTAACAGAACTCTTCCATTTCAGTGTACTCTTCAGTCTCGATATCAGCATTCATTTCTGAACGTAAAAACAATCTAGTAGTTTTATGTCTGTTGTTCCTTTCAGTTCCACCAAATTTCCCTTAATCTTTAGACCATGAAAAAACTTAAGCATGTTACCTTAAATGGTATAAGATGTAAAATAGTCAAGCACACAGTTCATCTCCTCACTAAACTAAAACTCCTTTAATTTCTTCTCACAAATCAAGTTTTCCCAGGCTCCCAATATTTGAACCTTAAAAAGATTCCTCTAATTCGTCTGTTTAGACAGGAACCACAACCAGCCACAAGGTTTCTGAAAATATCACAACCCTATAGCAATTCTATATTATCCTGTTATGTGTTTTGTGACTATAGATTAATATTCAAGTGTTTCCTTGACTTTGATTCAGAGTGACGGCAAGAATCTTTTACTAAGTGGTTATAGTCAATTAAGAGCTCAACAACGTGTGAAATAGATCACACTGGCAAAAAAAAAAATAAAATTTATTAGCCTGTGCTTGTCCAGATTAAGTTATAATTGCTTTGTCACCTAAAAGGTGGTTTCAGTCAGCAGTTTACAAAAAGATGTACAGGTTGCAACAAGGCATTAGCAGCAGACACCTCATCACAGGTAAGACCAAGCACAGAAAACGGGCTAATAAATAATACCAGGATTCAGTCAGTTTAGTGCAGAAATAGCATGTGTTTGCACAGTAATCTGGGAGCACAATGTAGAGACCCCTGAGGGCTTTGACAGAATCAGCCATGTCTGCTGGGATGCATTATTTCAATCTCAGTGGAAAGCAGTAGCAGTTAGTGGAAAGAGTGCTGCCTGGAAAACAGCAGGTAAAAACAAAGCATGGCAGTAGCTCTAGAATAGGAGCAGGATGCAGGATCAATGGGGAAATGACGACAAACCAAAAAACTTCATAAAAGTGATACAGAGCTCAAGTCAGAGAGGTATGAAAGACTGCCCACATTTTGAAGTGAGGTACAGCCATCTGAGAAATACTGGTTTATAGTAATTCCTCTTATGACCCTAAGATTAGCTCAGTTGGTTGGAGCATGGTGCTAATAATGCCAAGCTTGCGGGTTTGATCCCTGTATGGGCCATTCACTTAAGGGTTGGACGCGATGATCCTTGTGGGTCCCTTCCAACTCAGAATATTTTGTGATTCTGTCAATTTTGGCCGGAAAGCAGCAGTTCAACTGCGTGAAACAATGGAGGAATCAGTAATTATTTGCATTATGAGCAGGTTACAGAAGAGTCACTTGCCACATAATAACAAAGAAGTGATAACTTGTCATACAAGGCATCTTGAATGTTTGTTATGGTGTGAACATATCCTAACTATACCCATGTGACAAAAACTGAATTGGAATCACTGTTACAGAGATTGCACAGTTTGTCTTTTACTGACACGGGCTCTCATAAAATTAGTAGCAACTTCAAGTACTAACCAGTAGGTCCTTTAAGTCCGGCTTGACTCAGTTTCCTTTTCCACGCTCACTTAACTCAGTTGTGTATTTAAAAGAATCAGTCAAGGCTAGCCTGGTGCTTTGAAATGCAAAGTCCAAAGCTTTAATTAAATGCACTCCTTTCACGTCAATATTAAATGAAAGCAACTCACTGCCACTGTGGAAGGCAGCAGTTCATTTATTGCATGCTAATACAACTACCACCGCAATCATTTTTTGTCTCCTATTGCTTGAAATTGCATTTTATTTCAGACTCATAAGGGATAAATAAATAAATACATACACACTGACTTTCAATTATGACAGAATTGACCTTCCCACCACTCCAAAAATGCCATTAAGAAACTTCCAAGACATGGGTTTTAAATGAAAGCATTCTGTTAAGATCCAAGAGGGAAAAATAAAGAAATAAAAGATTAAAGTAACATCTGTCCCTTTCTTTATTCAATGAATCGGCTCCCAAAGGTTAGTCATCAATCCCACGCTATTCTGCTGATCTCAGTGTTTTAATTTTACTGTGTAGTTCGGTTTTCAGTAATAAACCCTCTTAGATAAAGAAAACTTAATTCCTTCAATACTTAATTCTCCAGTGGCCCTAACTTTTTAGCAGAAGAAACAGGGAAGAATGAGATATTATTTTTGCAAATTTCTAATCCACAGTGCTCTGCTAGCTTAACCATACCTAAAAAATATGGTTAGTTCTCATGTAGTTCTTAGCACTATGGCTTCTCCTTCTATGAAGAGGGAAAAAAACCTTATAAACAAAAGCATTTCAAATGCATCACTTTCAAATTTCAGCACAACTCTAGTACATCTGACTATGGGCTGCAAGAGTCACCTGTAGGAACGTTACAACATATCTGCTTGCACAGAATTTGGATTTTATACACTGGTTCTTCTACCACCAGTGAAAACATCCATCTTGATCAAATGAAAAATATTTTGCTCTCCTCATAACTTAGCTTTCAGACACACAGCAAGAGCTCTACAGTCTTTTGCCTTGGAAACCTGCAATGTAATAGAATAAAAAGCACAGAGAAAATAATAATTTGTTGACATGGGTTGGATGGCATTTTGTAACTAATCCATGCTTAGTCATAGAGCAGCAAAATAGGAATTATGTACTTACATTTAAATAAACACACAAGTATAAGTTGCTTAACTAGAAATTTCATTTTAAGGTTTGATTCTTTTTTTTTTAGCGCTGTATGCTACTAAGAAGTAGGATACACAAGTATACTAACCAAGTATACAAAAATATTTCTGAAATTAAATTATCCCTCAAATAAAAATTCTTGGCTTGAAATAAATGATTATTTGGTACAGAAGATAGAATAAGGCTTCAGAGCAAACCACCTAATTTACTCTATATGGAGCCAGAAACATTCTGAAGTGGGATTACATTATAAGTTTTCTGCAACCAATTTGATTTCATAATCCAATGTTTTCCTTCCAATCTTACCTTCCTATTAAATTTAATTTGCCTTCCAACAGTGAATTAAAAGTAATTTCAGCTAGATGCTGTTCCCCATACTGACACAATTTTTATGTCAATTTGTGTAATTTATTTTACAGCAACTTTTTTGATTTGTATACAAAGCTATGACTGCAGAGTTTTTCATAGGAAACTGTACCAGAGCAAACAGATTCACTAATAGAAGCATCACCATAAGGTATTCAAATCAATCTTCTTGCGTATGTATTAACAATGACCTCTTGCTGTTATCTTTGAGAACAGACTTTTCATGCTTCCACTGCTGCTCTTCCATCGCTCCAAACACTTTTGTAAAACAATTACGAGAATAAAAGTGACCATGAACAAGTGACTTCAGCTAACATCCCAGACAACTCACAACAAAGATTCAGGGTAGGATATTGAACAGAGCTCCTTCAGCCCCAAGAGATGGATGCTGCTGTTGGACTTTGCTTCTCCTCGTACTGCTCTGTTCCACCACGGCAGGAAGGCCTCATTACCCTGTAGGGTGTCAGAGGAACAGACACACAGCACTACGGTTGGTTTTGCTGTTTCTCTCTGGCAAAATTTTAGAACTTGTTTATACACAACTTACCTCCTCCTGAATTCCTTAACTGTGAATGCATTATGTATGCTGTTCTTGCTTCCATTACCTACATAACACCATCCAGACAAACTCTAAAATAGCTTCTGTATGCTAACAGTTTACAATGTAGATATGCCTAAAAGTCACTGCATTCTCCACTGAAAGGCCTGGTTAAAGAATAAATTTCATCAGTAATCCAGATTCTAGTCCTCTGAAGACCTATATCAGTCTCTGGACCTTACTAAAAATGTGACAATACTAAGGGCTACAAGGCAAGCCATGCTAACCCCACATGCAACTTTTATCCCAGACAGGTAAGAGGGTCCAAAGACTGGACAAAATTCACTAGGAATTCCCTGCTAGCATTTGAAAGGGAGAATGGCTGTGATAATGAGTTTCAGAGCTAGCTTCTTAAGACTACACAGCTTGCCACTAAATACATAGAAAGACTCTCCTGTTGAAAAAAAACAAAGTCCTAGACTGTAGTAACAATGAATAAATTACTTAGAGAACTGTAATTTTTAAAACTGTATTTTAAAAAAGTAAAAATATTGTAGTGACAACACAATGAAGTAAGGTAAGTATGACTTCTATGCCATCTTAAAAATGTGAAAACTTCACCACCTGGGGCTTTAAGCAGTGATCCATGTATTTTTCTCAATTCTCTTTTCCAATGGGAATTCACTGTTCCATGAACTAATTGAATGACTAGAATGAAGGACTGGGATAAAGTCCCATCACCCTTCCCTCTAGAGCACAGTACAGCATAGGAAACTTCAGAGGCACTTTGCCTCCACTCCAGACTAACCCAGACTCTCCCACATTACGAAGTACCAGGTGAGAATTACTTTGCTGAAGCAGAGCTCTATGAAACCATCAACACTCAAACCCACCTGCAATAACAACACCCGCACAGTGAGTGAAAACACCACAGGTATCACATCACCTCCTCATGGCAGAGGAACAAAATTTTCAGCCTTGTTTGCTCACATCTGAGAACGTCTGGGCCAAAGCGCTCCCGTGTACCCCAACTGTAGCATCCCAGAAAGGGCTGGGACAAACACCGACAGCTGGATGGCTGTGGAGCCAGCCAAGGACTAGTGGTAGTAACAGACAAGGACTGTCGGTAAGAACACGCTGTGGGAAAGAACAAGACGTGACTAGAGAAAGGGGACATGCGGAGGCAGCACTGTTCCTTGTTCTATTTCCTGGAGATACACACAGCACAGCACAGCACAGCACAAGCATGGAAAAGAGGCCAAGAAATGGGCATGGACTGTAGGGAGGGATCAAGACCACCCAAGAGCCCTGAAGCCCCCTGACTCATTTCCAGAAAGATCTAAAAGAACAGGCTGCACATAATGACTAGTTCCCATAGAAAGCGAGGAACCTGTCTCCAGGGTGGGGAAACCTGTCCATAAAAAGGTATCTCCACCAAGCCCAGACGGTATCCCCAGGACCCTGAACATCCCGTCAGCTGGACCGACGCTGGAACCAGGACTGATGATCTTCTTTTTTTCTCCTTTTTTTCTCTCGCTTTTCCTTTCTTTCTTTCTTTCTCCCTCTCTTACCCTCTCATTCATCTATCTCTTTCTCTCTTTTCACCTTACCCCTTTATCAAAAACCCACTGCCATGCGGTGTCAAGGATTAGCATACCAATTTCCGTGCCAATCGTGAAACTTGCTAATAAAACTTTCTGACTGTTTGCGGACCCTCCGACTCCTGCAGTTCCTCCCGACCACGAGCATTCCTGAATCCTGGGCGCTCCCTTCCCCTCAAGGGCAGGCCGACACACCGCTGCCCATGCTGCAGCCCTCCCCGCGGCACCGGGGCACCTCGCTGCCCTGTCTCCCCGGACACCGCCACCCGCTCTCCCAGCCCAGCCCGGAGGAGGACGCCTGTTCTGCGCAGCGCCATCACGCCCCTCTGTCCCGGCGCTCACACGCGTCCCCTCCTGGGCGTGTCTGACCCCCTGGGTCAGAAGGGAGGCAGCTGCGGCCTCCTGGCCCCAGGAGCGGGGGGCTCCCGCCATGCGCTCACCAGCCCGCGGTCCAGCTCGGCTTGGCCCCTGCCGGCGGCCGTAGGGCCCCGGGCGTACTCGGCGTAGCGCAGGCCCTCGTCAGAGCCCGCGGCGCCCGCCATGATGGAGCCGCGAGGAGTCGGCGCTACGGGCCGGCCGCAGGGACAAACCGCGCGGCAGGACGACCGCGCGAGGGGCGGGGCCGAGGCCGGAGCGTCACATCCTAGGAATAAGGCGGAATGAAGGGATAAGAGATAATTTATGCATTAAAAAAAAAAAATCGGATAAGGAGGAGAGAAAACACTCGGGCCTCACGGAAACGATTCGTTTCCATCTCCTGAATACAGGATTTTAGGCGGGGTGGGGAACATGTAAAGGAAAGTATAAAGACAAATTAATCTGGGGGAAAAAAACCACTAAAAATGCATTTTAATATTAATATGCTTGCACTTAAGTTGGTGTCTATATGTTTCACTGTGTTTATATTTTGATTTTTCTGAACATGCTGACACTTCGTATCACTTCTGAAAACCTCCCTCAGCTGATCCCTGCCTATGCAGAAGCTGTCAATCAACATCAGTCCCGCAGCACAAACTGTAAAATGCTCAGGCCCGTACCAGTACAGCAGCAGAACAGCTTTTCCCTTTTTTCTTGTTTTCCTTGTCTCCTACCTGGTCGTACTGGCGATGGAATTGAATCACCTGCAGATTGCTAAGCGGTGTGACTGGACAAAAAGTATTGCTCTCCTTACCTCCTATTTCAAATGACAGCTGCTCTTCTGAACATCTCTAAGTGTCTTTTTAGAGTACCATAAAGGTGAGTTAACCATATATAGCATTTCATTAACCTTAGGCACAGGTATAAATTTAACTTTCTACTGCACAGAAGTCACTGAGAGTTCTATGATGATCCATTTGTCAAGAAATGCATTCATTTTTACTTCTTCATTGGACATACACAATCATATACGATTAATTTTTTAAGCCTTCAGTGGAATTGGATTTCTTGAAAACTTAAATCTATTTTAAACTCATTAAAAGTGTCTCCAACTAATCATTTTCTGTTCGTTTATTTGCATAGAAATAATGCAGAGCAGCATGTTGCTTACTACATTTTTGGTCAGCAAACCAGTTTAAAAAATAATAAATTTAAAGTCTTGGAATCTAGCTCTTTTCCTTAATTTTCCAAACTGATCCCCGAGACACCGGAACAGGTCAAAGTCTGCTCTCATCAACTCAAAGTTGTGATTCTGTTATTTTGCCCTAATACTACTGTCTCATGGTCACAGCAGCCAAATTCTTCCTATTTGTAAGTACCAGAACCAAAAGAGCATCTCCCCTTGTCAGTTCCTTGATTACCTTCACAAGGAAGTTATAATCGATGAACTCAAGACACATGTCATTGTAAGGACATAAAAAATTGGCTTTTAAATTCACTGAGTCATACTATGGTCCATCCAAATACATCTAGGCAAGCTCTGACGTGGAAAACAGTGCTCTGAACATCTTCCTCCTATTACTGGCCATGCTACTACTACTACTGCTACTATTTTCTGGATGGTGAGCCGCAAGAAGCATATTGATTAAGCAGAGCAAACCAGATAATGAACACAAGGAAAATATATCTTTTGCCAGGAGTAAAAGACTGTAGGTTGTCTCCCTTGCAAGCAAGAAGGGGAGGAACTTAAGCAGCTGGGTCTTTGGTTACGGTTCTCTCCCAAAGCTCCTTTCAGCATGGCACAGCTGTGTGCTCTATTATGCACAGGATGGTGCTGGTAGAGACAATCTGTCCATTACTATTTAATTTAATCCTACACATTAGTATGTTCCAGCATATTGTCACTATTAATGTGTGGCAATGTTGTCCAGATTTGTTATGCCATTTAAGTTAATTGTCTGCATACTTTTCCTATAAATTACTTTCCTAAGTAGTCTGTGCTACAGTATTCCATGATGCAGTCAGGATCAATGCTGGCAAGAATCTCTGTAAGGAATGAAGGAGAATCTAGAAACAGATACCAGATTAAATCTTGTGAAATTGATAACAAGGGATATGTATGTATTTTGGATTTACCTTTTACCACTGAGAATTTCCAAAATACATGTAAATGTAGCACCTGATCAGTGTAATTAGAATAGCAGGGACCAAAATTTTGTACTAAAGATTAAAGTTTCTGAGGTCAGGCAGAGGAGAGAGTATAATTGAGAGTTATCAAGGAAATCATGAGGCATATCGTATAAAACTGGTAAAGTCAGTACTTGAGCCTTGCTGAATTGTCATGTACATACAAATGGATGAAGAATAAATCTTCCCAGCCGCTGCACCAGGATTAGAGGTTGCTCCTACAAGCATTTGTATATTTAATTACCATAATATACTGTAAAAGCAAAAAGAGGTATGAGCTGTGGACTTCTGCTAATTTCTTCGGGTAATGTATTCAGAAACATTACACAGTAAAGAATGTAATGTTCTTTCTAGATACTATAATAACTGTCTGTATGACATCTTTGGTTGACTAGGTACCACAAGGTAGTATATTATATAAAATCCTAAACTGGAACTAATCATGGCCTTCAGGAATTACAAGAGTACAATTATTCCTTGAAGAAGATGGTATATATGTGTGCTGGTTTAAGAGTTAACCAGCAGGGGAAATGAACTCAACTCAAAGGAGAGATTATAAGTCAGAATAACAATTTACTAAAATAATACAGTAAGTACAATCATACAAACAAACAATTGGTCTTAACCCACAAAACCCAAATGTATAACCCAGTACCCTGGGGCATGAACAACGTGGTGTTCCTTGGGCCCCGCTTGAGTCCAAAGTAAAGGGAGAGGGGAAGAACCTGCTGGTGGGAGAGCTGTTGCAGTCTAGTCAAAAGTGGTGATTGCAGTGAGATGCTGGGGGGAGAGCTGTTGCAGTCTGGTCAAAGTGGTGATTGGAGTCCAGTATAGGGTGGTGGTCCAAGTCTGTTTGAGAGCGATGAGCCGCAGTCCTTCTCTGGATCCCACAGAGTGGTTCCAAATGTTCCAAGACTCCAAGATTATATATCCTGCAGTTCAGGCAGGAATGCTCAGCACTTCCCTCAGGGCGGGGAGTTCCACAAAGGGTGTGAGGACAGGAGCATCCTCCTATCTCACAGGCCTCTTAACACCTAGTTTGTAGCCTGAGGAGTCAGGCTCTATGGGCAGAGGGTGTAAATGGTTCATTGATAACAGTTTCTGGGAAATGGCATGGAAGGCTATAGAATACACAGTTTTGGGTTACACCCATACCCTGATGAACTGGTCTCAGTTGTCCTAACTAGGACATTATCCACCCCTTATTCTATGCCATCCATGTCATGCCCAAATTAACCCCCTTTAAAAAAACTATATCCCTTTAAAACTATATACATCTATATATATATATATATATATACAATGAAACATTACAGACCATTCTCACTCAGAATTAGGTTCCCTTGTGGTACACAACGTGTCTCCCCATCTTTTTGCATTACCCACCAGGTGGAACCAGGTCCCTGAGCAAAAACAATCCCTCGGATGGGTTTGCCTTTGCTTGAGGTGGGACTAATCCAAACAGTCTTCCCTAACATTCCTCTCATATGTACCACGGGGACCTTATCTCCATCTACAGTATGCAAAAGTTCTGATTGGGCAGGGCCAGCTCGATTGATGGAGCCTCGGGTGTTGACCAACCAGGTGGCCTTTGCTAAATGCAGCTCCCAGTGTTTGAGAGTCTCCCCACACAGTGCCTTCAGGGTGGTTTTCAGCAGTCCGTTGCACCGCTCAACTTTTCCAGCAGCTGGTGCATGGTAGGGGATATGATACACCCACTCAATGCCGTGCTCTTTGGCCCAGGTGTCTACGAGGCCATTCTTGAAATGGGTCCCATTATCAGACTCAATTCTCTCCGGGGTGCCGTGTCGCCACAGGACTTGTTTTTCAAGGCCCAGGATGGTATTCCGGGCAGTGGCATGAGGCACGGGGTATGTCTCCAACCATCCAGTACTTCCTTCTACCATGGTCAGTACGTAGTGCTTGCCTTGGCGGGTTTTGGGGAGCGTGATGTAGTCAACTTGCCAGGCTTCCCCATACCTGTACTTTGACCACCGTCCACCATACCATAGAGGCTTCACCCGCTTGGCCTGCTTGATGGCAGCACACGTCTCGCAGTCATGGATGACCTGTGAGACAATGTCCTTGGTTAAGTCCACCCCTCGGTCACGAGCCCATCTGTATGTTGCATCTCTCCCCTGGTGACCAGAGGTGTCATGGGCCCATCGAGCCAGAAATAATTCTCCTTTGTGCTGCCAATCCAGATCTACCTGAGAGACTTTAATCCTGGCAGCTCGGTCCGCCTGCTCGTTGTTACGATGCTCCTCATTAGCCCGTTTCTTGCCTACATGAGCGTCTACGTGACGGACCTTCACACTCAGCTTCTCTACCCGGCCAGCGATGTCCTGCCACATCTCCGCCGCCCAGATGGGTTTCCCTTGGCGCTG